AGCTGCCGTGGGGTCAGGGATGCAGCCCAGCATCAGTCCTGTGTCACTGGAGGTGGGGAAGGGGACGAGCCGGTTCCCAGCACTGAGTCAGCCCGGGGTTGGGTACCGGCGACACGGGGAGGGCAGGGGCTGAGGACGTGGCACAGGTTCCATCCCCTGCTGCCGACAATAAAGCTGCGGGGTGCTGGATTACAGTCCCGAGCCAGGAAATCAAACACTCCGTGTGCTGGATGCGTTCCCGGATTCACCTCGGTGTCCCTGAATCCATCGTATCCCGGGCGGGATGGGAGCGTGGCTGCGAAGCATCCCCCTATGAAAGGAGCAGGGAGGGAGCTGGTGTTGTGGGAAAAGAAAGTGGTTTTCAGGAAAACAGCTTGTTTTAAGTGAAAAACTGGGATAGGGAGGGAAGGAATTTAAAGGGAAAACGATCTCAGGCAGAGATTGCCCTGGAGAAGGGTTTGCTTGTGCACGTGGTGGGTTCGGAGTGTTTGAGCCCTCCCCGCGCTTGAACATCTCCCTCTTGTTCTTATACACAACAAATACTTGACTTTGTTCCCAGAAAGGAAAAGAATCTGGCTCAGGACACAGCCAGCCCCTCCCAGCGTTATGCTTTTCCCCCAGACGCTGCTGAAATCAGGCACATTCAGCCCAAAACTGCAGCGGGGAGATAAGAGGGGACTGGAAACGTTTGCTGCGGGTCTGTTTCTCACCAGACACGTGGTTTCAGGGAGATGCAGAGCAAAACTAAAGCTAAAGATGAGCCTCTTCCCGTTTCCAGAGCCTGGGGTCATCAATGGGGAAGATGCAGCCAAAACCTTACTGCATGAGGATGAACCACCCCGAGTCCTTCCCCTTGCCCCACTGCCATTTGCCGGGCAGGAAACGGTTGTGCTTTGCAGGAAGCTGCTGTCACGCTGTCGTTTCCATCACTAAGAGCAATCCTGCCCCATATCCCCACTGAGCGATGGGGCAAAGGGTCCCCGCTAGCCCTGCCAGGGGAAGAGCATCCTTCATCCTCCCTGCTTCCGAGCCATTCTGCTGCCTGTGCGTGGTGCATGGGGGGCAGCAATACAGGATAGGTCTGTTGGGGTGGGTTTATCCAGCGTTGATGGGGCCATCAGCAAACATATGATGAGGAGTTAACTCTTTTCTCCATAGAGAGTGGCATTGAGTCAGAACGAAGTTATTCCCAGCTTAACACATTTGCAGCACCGGCCCCTTAGGGGCTAGTCCTGATTAAAGGGAGGCTTCAGGGAAAAGAGCATCCTCCAGCTGCAGTGCCGGTGCTGGAGCAGGAAGTTACCATCACTGCGAAAGCAAAACTGGCTTTTGGGTTAGTTTAAGCTCTTTTGGGGTTAGTTTAATCTCTTTTTGGGTTAGTTTAAGCTCTTTTTGGGTTAGTTTAAGCTCTTTTTGGGTTAGTTTAAGCTCTTTTTGGGTTAGTTTAAGCTCTTTTTGGGTTAGTTCAAGCTCTTTTTGGGTTAGTTTAAGCTCTTTTTGGGTTAGTTTAAGCTCTTTTTGGGTTAGTTCAAGCTCTTTTTGGGTTAGTTTAAGCTCTTTTTGGGTTAGTTTAAGCTCTTTTTGGGTTAGTTTAAGCTCTTTTGGGGTTAGTTTAAGCTCTTTTTGGGTTAGTTTAAGCTCTTTGGGTTAGTTCAAGCTCTTTTTGGGTTAGTTTAAGCTCTTTTTGGGTTAGTTTAAGCTCTTTTTGGGTTAGTTTAAGCTCTTTTTGGGTTAGTTTAAGCTCTTTTTGGGTTAGTTTAAGCTCTTTGGGTTAGTTCAAGCTCTTTTTGGGTTAGTTTAAGCTCTTTTTGGGTTAGTTTAAGCTCTTTTTGGGTTAGTTCAAGCTCTTTTTGGGTTAGTTTAAGCTCTTTTTGGGTTAGTTCAAGCTCTTTTTGGGTTAGTTTAAGCTCTTTTTGGGTTAGTTCAAGCTCTTTTTGGGTTAGTTCAAGCTCTTTTTGGGTTAGTTTAAGCTCTTTTTGGGTTAGTTTAAGCTCTTTTTGGGTTAGTTCAAGCTCTTTTTGGGTTAGTTTAAGCTCTTTTTTGGGTTACTCAGCTCTTCCCTCTTCCAGCTGGTAGCAAAAATTGGGCACCTTGAGGTTTCTTCAGCCTTGGGGCGGATGGAGCTTGCCCAACAGCGGCCTTGCAGCAGGGAAGGGCAATACCAGGCACTTCTCCAGCAGCGGATGCTAGGCATAGGAATTAGCCAAGCCTTTGGAGACAGCCCTGAGCCAGGAATCGCTCGGGTCGAGTTCCAAAAATCCCTTCAAACTCATTGCACCTACGAGCACGCTCCAATGATCCAGTTCTTTAACGAACTGTGGTGCCCTGTGTGCGCTGGCCTCGGCTCTGAGCGCGCCCAGACTCAAATCCGTGCCTCCTCCATTCAGTTTATTCAGATTTCCTCAGGGAAACGCTATTATTTAGGATGGAAGCTGTCCAGAAATCCCAGTCCCAGCTCTTAACCCCGTGCGTGTGTTTGTTTGGGACTGTCAGTGATCTTAAATAGAGGTCAAACAACAGAGAGGGATGAAGGATGCTCATGCTCCGGGGATGCAGACTGAATTCTCTTGTCTTACTCAATCTTTGCTGCAGGTTGAGGTGTGCTTGGGTGCAGTGGGGGGGACCTGGAGTAATGAACCAGGGCCATGGGGTTGGGAAGCCTTGGGCATGAAGGTGGCCATGGCTCTTCTTCGGTGAGGGTCAAGGTGGTCTTGCATGGAAGGGTTAGGGTTAGGGTTAGGGTGGAGCTGAGCTGCTCTTGCAGGATAGGATGCCCTGACCTGCGTTAGCTGCCCAGTGGGACGACGTCTGTGTCTGTAGGAGATGATCCAGGTTTTAAAGGGGCTTTGGGGATTAGAAGAAGGTCACCCTGTTTCTTATGCCGCTGGTTATTCCTGGCATGGGGATCGTGCTGAGCAGGGCCTGCCCTGGGGAAAGGAATTGAAACCTCTGCCTTGTTCCCTTGTGCTGTTGTTTCGGCAGCATCCTCACTGCCCTTTGCATTGGGCAGGAATGGAGGAGCAAACAGCAATGGTTTCTTGTGCCTCTGAGCTTCTGGGGTGAGATCCTCATGGGATGGGGCAGCACCTTGTGAGTCCAGGAGGTAAAGCAAGCAAAGGGTGGCAGAAGGAGAGGAAGAGCAAGAGGAAGCTCTGCTGAGCCCTGCTGCTGCGGTACGCAGGGGATGGGAAGGGGAACGCCTCATTGGGACCCCATCCCCACTTGTGATGGTCCCAGCAGGCCCCCCTCATCACCACAGGAGGAGGATCTCATAGGGGCAAGATGCTGCAGGGAGGCAAAGCACCCAATTGTCTGTCACCAACACCCAGCTAGGTGCTGGTGCAGGGGCAGAGGGAGCCTGGTTGAGATCCGACCTGTGCCAAAGGGGCACGATGGTGGCTTGAGGAGAGGTTGTGAAAGGTCCCGACCTGCAGAGATAAGGCTATCTGTGTCTCACAGCTTGGAAACGGGGCTGGGCAGTCTGCCCTGGGTCGATGCCATTGACTGATAACTGTCGGGGCAGCTGGATGGGAGATTTCCTAACCTTGGGGCTGGGATGGAGCTGGGGCAGCAGCCGCCTCTCCTGCCCTGCTAGCCAGAACCTTGGACCACGGGTGGCAATTTGCAGCAGGCGAGAGCAAATAGAAGGAGAAGGAGGGGAGTGTTTGACTTCCTGCTGCTGCGGTGGATAAGGAGAGGCTGGTAAACAGCCTGCACCGGGAAACCTCCAGCGTTCCTGGTTCTGATCCGCTCCCTCTCGCCTTCCTGGTCTCCCAGTTGCTTCCTTTCCATCCCCAACTAATGGGAAGGAGGAGGCTGCACCCATCGCACCGACCAGGATGCAGCCCCCCCCCCCCCAGGGAACAAAGCAAACCCATCCTCTGAGCTCGCTGCAGCACAATGGGGCAACGAGGGACTTGGCTCCCCAATCCCCACTAGAGCTGGGGATAAGGCAGGGGTTAAAAGGATACCGGGAGCATCCCAAGCCTGACCCACAGCAGAGCTGGGTCCGAGCGGCTGCATCCGTGAGCGAGGTCACGCTATTACTCGCCCACAAAATGCCCATTTCCTATAGCGTAGCCCTATAAAAGAGCCCCAATCACGCTGGGTCTCTGATGACCCGCTCCTTACGTGCCTGCAGACAGGTGAGCTTGCCTGGGTGGAGTTTTCCTCTCCACTTTGCAGCTGCCCTTTAATTAATGTTGAGTGAAGTTAATGGAAACAGGGGCATAGTTGGGAGCTGGTGCCCTCCCTGCTCCGGCCACGCACGGTGCTAAGGGATGGGGTTTTTTCCATGCCTTTCCTCGGGAGGACACGATGCTTCGGTGCCATTTATAGAAGGGGGTGGGCATCCTCATAGCCTCAGCGTCGGGGTGTAAGCCATGGCCAGGAGCAGGGGGTGGATTTCTTCCCTTTCCGGCCACAGCACCCACTTGTGTCACCCCAGCGTTGTTTGCTCAAGGGGGTTGAGTGGCACCGTAACCCTTTGTAGGGGTGATCTCAGCAGCAAAGACGTGAATGGGCAGTGGATTGCTGCCTGGCATCCTTCACGTAGGGAAGAGGCCCCCGGGGGGGGGGGGTCAAGGTCGAGGTGTGCTGCCACCGGGGTGTAGGAAGAGCTCTGAAGCTGGAAAAGCTCCACCACAACGTCCTGACTCACAGCCTGGGCTGGGCTCCGTTTGGGTCCTTCTGTCACAACCTGTTTGGGTGCCCATAGGTGAATGAGAGGGGAAGAGCATGCGGGGATCAGTGTTCCCAAGGTGGTACCCAAGGGGATGCCGGTGAGGGGGATGCGGGGTGGCACTCGGTGAGCTCCCTGGGTGCAGCAGCGGGTGTCACTGATGTACCTGCAGATAAGCTGTTGTCCTTCGGGATGGGGCATGACCTGCTTCTTGCATCACCCCCTGCAGACGTGAGGGGTGCTGGATGTGTCACAGGGGCTGTGCCCGTGTCTCCAGCCCTCCAGGTGACTTTCCTGGCTTTATCCCCCCCCCTTTCAGATTGACAAGTACCTGTACCACATGCGGCTCTCCGAGGAGACCCTCCAGGAGGTGTCCCAGCGCTTCGGGAAGGAGATGGAGAAGGGGCTGGGAGCAGACACCAACCCCACCGCCTCGGTGAAGATGCTGCCAACCTTCGTGAGATCCACCCCGGATGGGACAGGTACCGAGAGGCCATGGAATGGGTTGGGATGAAGGGACCTTAAAGCTCATCCAGCTCCAAACCCTGCCACGGGCAGGGACCCCTTCCACTGGAGCAGCTTGCTCCAAGCCCCTGTGTCCAACCTGGCCTTGAGCACTGCCAGGGATGGGGCAGCCACAGCTTCTCTGGGCACCCTGTGCCAGCGCCTCAGCACCCTCACATAAATCACTTCTGCCTTATCTCCAATCTGAACTCCCCCTGTTTCAGCCTGAACCCATCACCCCTTGTTCTGTCCCTACAGTCCCTGATGAAGAGCCCCTCTCCAGCATCCTTGTAGCCCCCTTCACACACTGGAAGCTGCTCTGAGCTCTCCACGCAGCTTCTCTTCTCCAGCCCCAGTGTTCTCAGCCTGGCCCCATACAGGAGCTGCTCCAGCCCCTGAGCATCCTCGTGGCCTTGCTCCAGCACGATGGGAGATGCTCCCTCCTGGCACAGCAGAGGGAGGTCTCGGTTGGTACCAACACGTGCCAGGAGCGAGGTCTGGAGCCACCCATCCTCACGGCACTGAGGCACCAGGACCGCCTTCACTGCTCACCCCTAGGGCTTCATCCTGCTTGTGCTCAGCGCGGGGACCGCCCCTGTGTGCTGGGAGGCTCCCAGTGATGGGAGGGAGGGAGGGGGGGGGCCCAGATCCTGCCGTGCCCTCCCTGGCAGGACAGCGACAGTCACGGGTCCAGCTCATCCGATTGCATTGGCAGCGAAGGGGGGAGCGGTGCCAGCTGCTGCCTGAATGGCACCGGGGCCACGGCAGGAGAAGGGGCTCTGCCCGCTGGGCTCCGCACAATGCAGCCTTTCTGCCCGCTTCCCCCGGCCTGCAGACACATCCCTGCTCCGGGCTCCTCCCAGCACCAGACCCCAAGCATCCCTATGGGAAAGCCGGTGTCTGCCTCTCGGTGCTTTGGGAAGGAGCTTTGCGGGGCGGGCTGTGTGTGCTCTGCAGCATCGCCTCTTTCCCCCCGCAGGGAATGGGATGCGGATGCACCCAGGACCTGCTGAGTCAGGGACACAGCACCCTGAGCAGCAGACACTGCCCCGGGCTCCACAGCCGGGCTGGCAGCAGCCCCTGGGAAGCCCCCAGGTCCCATTGCCTGCAGTTGCTCCAGTGCTGGCACCTCCGAGGGGCTCCTTGCTGAACCTCGGTGCTGATGGCAGCGGAAAAGATGGGGAAAGAGGAAGGGAGCTGATGGAAAGAGCCCTCAGCCCTCCCCATCCCCGTCTCTCATCAACCTCATCCAGTGCCTCAGCACCCTCGTGTCTTCCTTTACATCCTATAGGAAGTCTACACCTCGCCTCTTTCAGTTTAAACCCATCACCCTTTGTCCTGTAGCCACAGGCCCTTCTAAAGCCTCCATCCCCATCTTTCTGATGAGTACTGGAGCATCCCTTCATCCAGCGCCATCCTGCTGCTGCATCCCTCGTGCTCAGCCCCTCTGCTGCCTGGGCTCCCTGCCCCGGGATCGAGATTTCCATCTATTTAAATGGTGGAGAATATTTGTAATTACAGGGATAGCCGGAATGCCACCCCTGGGCATGGGAACTATTGCAGCCAAAGGTGCTGGAGCGTGTGTCACAGCTCTCCGGAGGCAGGAGGTGGTAGGGAGAAGGTGCAGGCGCTCTCCTTGCCTTCCCAAGACAATCCTTAGCTTCCCTCACCGTGTTTGCAGCTTCTCCAGTGTCCCGGCTGGCATTTCCCACCCGGGATCGAGCATGGAAACCATGAAGCAAAGGGGATGCTGGGGCAGTCACCGGGCTGGGAAGCAGGAGGTTTCCAAGCAAGTCCTGGGGGGATAAAAGACCTGGGAATCCCGATGAGCCCCAGCTGGATCCAGGATGCGCGCAGCATCGGCATCTCTGCTGTTGGGTTTGGAGAGGATGGGCTGGAAGGGGGCACTTGGAGGCTCATTGGAAGAGCTCAGTGTCCAGCTCAATGTCCTTCCTCTTTCTGCTTCTTTTATGGGCATCATTCCATGTGGATGGGCATCATTCCATTTGGATGGGCATCATTCCATTTGGATGGGCATCATTCCCACCCAAAAGATGGGTTATTCCTCTGCTCCTGCTAGTGGCCATGCTCCAACACGATGCTACACCAGCTGCAGAGGCTCCTGCAGAGCATCCCTGCCCTTCCTCTGCTCATGGCCATAGCAGGAGTTGTCTCTGCTTTGGGATTATTGGGATTTGGGATCTAATACGGAGCCGGCAGCTGGATCCAGGCAGATGAGGGGAGTTTAGGGAGACCCAAGGTCACGTCTGCAGCTTGGAGTCAAAACACAGCCGCGGCTCCCGAGAGCTCTTCCCCTCCTTGGATCCTCCTTGGGTTCACTCTTGGTGGCTTCACTGTTCCTGGTGGGGAAAACCAGGCCCCAAACAAGCTTTTCCTTGGGATGCTGGTGATCCTGAGCAAGGGCTCTCCTTGCTTCCCTCCTGGTTTTCCCAAGCTTTGCCGGTGTCACCGCGGTTCCTCCTCCATGCTGAAGCTGACACAAGGATCTTCTGGTGCATCCTCTGTTGAGCCCCAGCAGCTGAGATCCATGGCTGCAGCTTTCAGGATGCTGCTGCAGTACCTTGGTGGTCAGATCCCTGGGAATTCCAAGGATGGTTCTTTGGAACACCCTTCCCTTGGGCTATGGGCTCCGTTCCTGCCCACAACCAGCTGCTTCTGTAGGAAAACATGAGCCATGGTCCTTAAAGCCTTAAAGAAAATGCCTATTTCATGCCCAGAGCCCCTCTCCTGGTTATTTATCACATTCCCCAGCAAGGAATCACATTGGGAATCACTACTGGGTGACTCTCGCTGCTCTCTGCTGGACCCGATTCTATCCAAACCAAGCAGCCAGGTTAATCCTGACTCTTTTGCTGCTGCAATCCCATAATTTCATACCCAATCCATCATAAACCCCTTTGCTGCACTGATTTAGTGGAAGTGCTGATGCGTCGGGGCTCTTATGGTCCTTCTGCTCAGCTTGCTGCAAGGAGGCAGTGGGAAACATGGGGGGCTCTGCCTCCATCCCCTGCATCCCTCAGAGCTGGTCTTGCTTTTCCTTATCCTCTCATTAGTTATTAAGCCAATTGGAGCAAGGATCCTTCCAAACCAAGACTGCAGCCAGTTGGGAGTATGAGGTTTGGGGTGGTTGGTCCGGGCTGAGCAGCCTCTAAGGTGCTGGAGCATGATCCTGCACATGATGCTCTGGTCCCCTGGCCCTGCCTGTGTTTAGATCTTAGGCAGGGGTTGGAACCGGGTGGGATTTAAGGTCCCTTCCAACACAAGCTGTGGGTTATTCTGTTCTCTTCCCGTGCTTTCTCCCACTTCTAAAGGCACCAAACACACCTCCTGGGTGGTTTCCTAAGAGCAAACACACCTCGAATCCAAGCTCCGTGTTTACCCTCGCTGTTTGGTTTGGAAGCTCAGCATCGCCGCCTCTGTTATCACATAAGGAGGGAGCTCTAATCAGAGCCCAGCCAATGGAGCCCATCACAACCACATCCCTTCCACCTGGGGATTTTCCAGGGGAGGATTTGCTGCCTTTTTCCTCCTGCAATTCCCAGGAATCCACTCCTTGGCTTCAGCAGATGCCACTCAAACGGCTTGTACCTCTCCTGTGGCTGTTGAGCTGCTTTCAAGGGGGGGTTTGGGTGTTGTTCTGGGGCAAGGGTCCCCATCCACGGCTCCTTGGCCTTTTAGGTTGCTTATCCCTGGATTCCCTGAGTTATCCCCAAGGAGCCGAGCAGCCCCTGAGGCTCTTGGCTCCAGCCCTAGTGTATTTATCAGCGCTCCGAGGTGTTCTTCATGCTCTGCTAGCAAGCAGAACAGCATCGGTGCCAGCAGCAAAGGGAAGCAGGAGCACAGCTTGACCCGTGTTAGGGGCAGAGCGTGATGCCAGTGGTACCCAGCCGAGCATCCCATCCAGCTCTGCCCACCCGTGGCCGAGGTTAAATCCCTGCTGTGGGCAATAGCAGGGACATGAGGACAGCAGGAGCTCCACGGAGGTGTTTTCAGCCTCTATGTGCAGAGACGTGGCCAGGGCATGCCCTGTGGCTGGCAGACACAGGGAGCTGCCAAACGGGTTTAAACCTCATCCCTGCAAAGGGTCAGCGTGGGCTGGAGGCGAGGAGGAGAAGTGAATGTGCAGGGTTCGGCTGCCCCAGTGCTGGAGCTCTCATGCTTGGGGCATCAGCGCTGCTCTCCAGCCCTGCAAGCACTGGTTTGCACGTCCCTTGGCCGTGCTGCCTTGCTTGCAGCGATGCTGAGGGTGTTATTGAGGAGGGGTGAGCTGTGAAGCATTGATGGGGGCCTGGTTTGGAGTGATCCATGGTTCTGGATGATGGGGTGTGTGTGTGGAACCCATAGATTCTATGGGGCTGGGAAAGAGCTTTAAGCTCACCAAGTCCAACTGTTACCCCCAGCACTGCCAAGCCCACCACTAACCCATGGCCAGAGATGAAGTGAGGGTCAGCCAGAGCTGCGTGGGGACATGGGGCTGGTTGATCTCCTGGTGTAACCCTAACCATGGGACTGAAGCCAGAGCATGGAGGGGACTGGTACCACTGGGAGCTAGCGCCCAACCTGCCCTGCATCTCCACTGGGGTGATGTGCTGACCCCACAGCCCTCCATGCAAGCATTAGGGCTGTTAACACTGCCTCGAGCCCCTCTTGTTCCTCATCTTCTCCTTCCTTTGGAGCACCACGACTGCTTTTAATGGAGCTTTTCAGCTGCAGAGGGGTGGCTCCGGGTCTGTCCCTGTCCCACTTCCCTCGCCCTGGGACAGCCGGTCACCCCTTGGGCCGTGCCGGCTCAATCCCTGGGGATGCTGCCCTGGTGCCATTGGAATACCAATAAACCACCGGTTTTGTTCCAACCGGAGCCCCTTTGTGTGAGCATCGGCGGGCACAAAGCGGCCCCCGGGGGCTGCGATCGGCTCCGGGGGAGCCAGCACAGCACATTCAGTGCATTCAGCAGTGCAACAGTGCTGATAGAGGGCTTTCCCCCGGCCCTCTCCCCATGCTGCGCCCTGTTCAGAGCAGCCAGCTTGGCTCTGTTCCCACATCCTGGCTTTGCAACCCGGCCTTGGTGAAACAGCAGCAAACAGGGCCCAGCCCTTGGGTCTTGGAGGGGCTTGGTCATGGAATGGGTTGGGATGAAGGGACCTTAAAGCCCCTGTGTTCAACCTGGCCTTGAGCACTGCCAGGGATGGGGCAGCCACAGCTTCTCTGGGCACCCTGTGCCAGCGCCTCAGCACCCTCACATAAATCACTTCTGCCTTATCTCCAACCTGAACTCCCCATTTCAGTCTGAACCCATCACCCCTTGTCCCATCCCTCCAGTCCCTGATGAAGAGCCCCTCTGCAGCATCCTTGTAACCCCCTTCAGACACTGGAAGCTGCTCTGAGGTCTCCACACAGCTTCTCTTCTCCAGCCCCAATGTTCTCAGCCTGGCTCCATACAGGAGCTGCTCCAGCCCCTGAGCATCCTCGTGGCCTCCTCTGCACTCACTCCAACAGCTCCATGTCCTCACATTGAGGACCGTTCACTTGGGAGATGTGGGAGTTCCCACAAGCATCAATAGGGTCAGGAACAGTCTCTGCTGCCTCCTTCCTGATGAAGTTTGAGGTTGGAGCTCCTCTTCCTTGGATTCGGGCACAGGCTCGTCCGGATGGGGCTGACGGGGTCTGTCCTACAGCAGATCCATCACACTGAATGGTTCCTCTTGTCCTGCAGAGGATGGGGACTTCCTGGCGCTGGACCTTGGAGGCACCAATTTCCGTGTGCTGAGGGTGAAGGTGTCGGACAACGGCCTGCAGAAGGTGGAGATGGAGAATCAGATCTACGCCATCCCCGAGGAGCTCATGAGAGGCAGTGGGGTGCAGGTGGGTTCACCCCTTCCCTTCCATCCCCACTCTCCTGGGCTTCCCCCCCTCCCTAGACCCTGAGCTGTGCAATGGGGCTGGAGCAGGGCTGTGCATCCTATTGCTGCAGCATCCCAGTAATTCCTTACCTGCCTTTTGGAGCTGTTAATTCCCAGGGAGGACCACAGAGCTGTGATGGGGGTGGCAGGCACTGCTCCCAGGACGCAGGCACTGCTCTGGTGCATCACCTCGGTCAGGGGCACTGCACAAGGGTTCACTCTTTGCCCTTTTATCCCCAGCTCTTTGACCACATTGCTGAGTGCTTGGCCAACTTCATGGATAAGCTGAAAATCAAAGACAAGAAACTCCCCCTTGGCTTCACCTTCTCCTTCCCGTGCCACCAGACCAAGCTGGATGAGGTGAGTTAGGGTCTCACCTCCTCGTGGCTGAGCCTGGGACGCAGCGGGATGGAGATGCCCCACGGCTGATGGGGTTCGGGTACCACACAAGGGCTCTGATGGGAGCAAAGGCCGAGCACTGGGGCTCACGGGGGTACAGGAGGAGCTCCTTGCCCTGCTCTGTGTGAACACCTCCATAGGGAGCAGCAGCTCAAGGAGAGCGGCTCCAGCAGCCAGAGGCAGCCAGGACGTGCCGAGCATCACATCCCGCATGGAGCAGCAGGGAGCCGGGGCTGTCAGCTCCGCTCAGCGCGCAGGGATGCAGCATCCCACGTGGCCCCGCTCCTGCTCCTGGCAGGGGGCTGCAGCACAAGGGGGGGGGGCTGGTGCTTTCCTTGCCCTTATCCCACCCAGCTCCCTGGGATCGGGGAGGAGAGAGGCTCCACGGAGCGCTGGAAATGCAGCGCATCCTCGGGAGCGAGGGGATGGTGGCGTTTGCAACCAGGGATGGGGCTGGTTGTGCTCAAGAGATGCAGGAGGAGGAGGTTAAAGAGTGATGCAGGAGGTTAAAGAGTGATGCAGGGTGTTAAGGACTGATGCAGGAGGTTAAGGAGTGATGCAGGAGGTTAAAGAGTGATGCAGGAGGTTAAAGAGTGATGCAGGAGGTTAAAGAGTGATGCAGGAGGTTAAAGAGTGATGCAGGAGGTTAAGAGTGATGCAGGTTAAGGACTGATGCAGGAGGTTAAAGAGTGATGCAGGAGGTTAAGAGTGATGCAGGAGGTTAAAGAGTGATGCAGGAGGTTAAGGACTGATGCAGGAGGTTAAAGAGTGATGCAGGAGGTTAAAGAGTGATGCAGGAGGTTAAAGAGTGATGCAGGAGGTTAAGGACTGATGCAGGAGGTTAAAGAGTGATGCAGGTGAAGGACTGTTGCAGGAGGTTAAAGAGTGATGCAGGTTAAGGACTGATGCAGGAGGTTAAAGAGTGATGCAGGAGGTTAAGAGTGATGCAGGAGGTTAAGGACTGATGCAGGAGGTTAAAGAGTGATGCAGGTTAAGGACTGATGCAGGAGGTTAAAGAGTGATGCAGGAGGTTAAGAGTGATGCAGGAGGTTAAAGAGTGATGCAGGAGGTTAAGGACTGATGCAGGAGGTTAAAGAGTGATGCAGGAGGTTAAAGAGTGATGCAGGTTAAGGACTGATGCAGGAGGTTAAGGAGTGATACAGGAGGTTAAAGAGTGATGCAGGAGGTTAAAGAGTGATGCAGGTTAAGGACTGATGCAGGAGGTTAAAGAGTGATGCAGGAGGTTAAGGACTGATGCAGGAGGTTAAAGAGTGATGCAGGAGGTTAAAGAATGAGGAAGGAGGTTAAAGCTTTGCTTATGGTGGATGTGGGGCTGTAAAAGTGAAACCATAAAGAAAGAAGCTGGGAGAGGAAGCATCTGTCCCCGGTGACCTTGTCTGGCTTCTCCGTCATGCCTCAGTTTCCCCATGTGTAAAGCAGGGAGGGATCTGCCTTGCTAAAGGCTCCAGGATGCAGGGTTTCAGGTGCAATTGAGCCTGCTCCCTTCACCCGGGCCGGGCGCTGCTGAGTGGGTGCCTCCAGGACCCCCATTGGCAGGGATGGGTCAAGGAGCAGTCTGTAGTCTTGGGAGCAGGTTTTGCCTGCAGGGCTCCATAAAACCCAGTCACGGGACTCAGGAGCCAGGAGCTGCTCCCAGGCTGTTTCACAGCCATAAATGTTATCTGCACAGGGAGGCGGAAATCACTGCTGATAGCGCAGCTGGGAACAGGGAGGGACTCACCCCCGGGGCTTTGTCCCCATCCATCCATCCATCCCTCCATCCATCCATCCATCCATCCATCCATCCATCCATCCATCCAAGCCCTCAGGACACGGTGGGTCTCTCCTCTGAGCCTTCCTCCTCGCTGTTCCTCCACAGAGCATCCTCGTTACGTGGACAAAGGGGTTCAAGTGCAGCAGCGTGGAGGGCAAGGACGTGGTGTCGATGCTGCGCAAGTCCATCAAGAAGAGAGGGGTGAGAGGCTGGGCAGCTCCATCACCCCCCCGGGGCGGTGGGGTGGGTGTTGAGGCCCTGCAGCTCGGCTCCATGGGGCAGCAGAGGTGCTGTGGTGACGCGATCTCTTCTTCCATCAGGACTTTGACATTGACATCGTGGCCGTGGTGAACGACACCGTGGGGACCATGATGACCTGTGGCTATGATGATCATAACTGTGAAGTTGGCCTCATTGTTGGTGAGCCAAGGGGGAGCAAGGAGGGGATGTGTCTTGCAGGTTTCAGGGGCTTCTGTGGGGATGAAGGAAGGGGAGAGTGATAAAACCCAGCATTGCCCAGTGATTGCTTTCTTCCATCTTCGCTTTCTGCGGTGCAATTCAATGGATGGAGCAGCCCTGCTCTGGAGCCAGGCTGAGAGAGCTGGGCTGGGGCAGCCTGGAGAAGAGAAGGTTCCTGAAGGGGAGACCTGAGAGCAGCTCCAGTGCCTGAAGGGGCTGCAGAAAACCTGGAGAGGGGCTTTGGGATATAAGGGATATAGGGCCAGGCCAAGGGGAATGGCTTTAACCTGCCTGAGGGGAGACTGAGATGAGCTCTTCCCTGTGAGGGTGCTGAGGAGCAAGCTGCTCCAGTGGAAGGTGTCCCTGCCCACGGCAGGGATTGGGACTGGATGAGCTTTAAGCTCCTTTCCAACACAAACCAGTCTGGGGTTGTATCACTATGAGAGTAAGGGAAAGGCAGCCTCCTCTCTCACTGCATCCCTGTGCTTGGTCCAGGTACGGGTACCAACGCCTGTTACATGGAGGAGATGAGGCACATCGACCTGGTGGAAGGCGACGAAGGCCGGATGTGCATCAACATGGAATGGGGAGCGTTTGGGGACGACGGCGTCCTCAAAGACATCCGGACCGAGTTCGACCACGAGATTGACATGGGCTCGCTCAACCCCGGCAAGCAACTGTGAGCAGCGCCTTGGCTGAGCTTGGGGTTTGCCCTGCATCCTCCATCCTCTATCCTCTCCATCCTCCATCCTCTATCCTCCATCCTCTATCCTCTCCATCCTCTATCCTCCATCCTCTATCCTCTATCCTCCATCCTCTATCCTCTATCCTCTGTCCTCCATCCTCTATCCTCTCTATCCTCCATCCTCTGTCCTCTCTACCCTCCATCCTCTCTATCTTCCATCCTCTATCCTCTCTATCCTCTCTATCCTCTCTATCCTCTCTACCCTCCATCCTCTATCCTCCATCCTCCATCCTCTATCCTCCATCCTTTATCCTCTCTACCCTCCATCCTCCCTACCCTCCATCCTCTATCCTCCATCCTCCATCCTCTCTATCCTCCATCCTCTATCCTCTCTACCCTCCATCCTCTATCCTCTCTATCCTCTCTACCCTCCATCCTCCCGTCGCGCTGCCGTCAGCGGCACGCAGGGGCTGTCCTAGCTAACTGGGTCACCGCATCCCGTGCCAGCTGCACCCATGCAAACAGGGGCCGTGCCACACACTTGGGTTGGTTCTCCCAACCGAACCACTGGGCACATGCTTCCCTCGTGAGCTGAATGCCTTCAGTCCTGTCCCTTTCCCCCTGCCAACGAGGCGCTCTGCCAGGCACGGCAAACACCCCCACCTAATGTCTGCAGCCAGGTCCTACCCAGCTCCCGTTCTCCTGATGGATTCTGGCAGCATGGGTGGGATTGGGGGGGGTATCCCTGCAAAGTGACCCCCTTCAGGTAGCTGTAAGTTGTCCTTGCAGGATGAAGGTCATGCCAACGTGGCTTTATCTTCTCGGGGATGGGATAAAGAGCTCAGGAAAGACATTACCTGATAGCCTTTGGGTTTGGAAGGCTGGCAGATGGTTTTGACTATGGCCACCTCACGGCACACACAGCCAAGCAAACACACCTTGGCCTTCCCCCATTGCCAGGTTTGAGAAGATGATCAGTGGGATGTACATGGGAGAGCTGGTGAGGCTCATCCTGGTGAAGATGGCCAAGGAAGGGCTCCTGTTTGGAGGAAGGCTCACACCAGATCTGCTCACTACCGGCCACTTTGAGACCAGATACATCTCTGCTATTGAGAAGTAAGTAGGATCCAGAGGGTTTCCTTGGATCCCAGCCCATATCCTGACACCTGTGCTGAGGGAATCACAGAATCCCAGCCTGAGATGGGTTGAAGGGACCTTAAAGCTCATCCAGCTCCAACCCCTGCCAAGGGCAGGGACACCTTCCACTGGAGCAGCTTGCTCCAAGCCCCTGTGTCCAAAAGGATGAAAGCACTTTGCTGTCTCTGTGATGAATAAGGAATTAGTGGTTTAATTGTGCTCATAGGCTGCAAGCAAGGCCATGTCTGGGGAAAACTTTAGGGTGTGAAAGGAGGGAATGGAGCCATGACTTGTCATTTGAGATCTGTAAAATACAGAGTTAGTTAAAATGTAGCTCTGATCCCTGATGAAAAAGACATTTTTAGCTGGGAAATGAAGTTTTCTGGATAAAAATATGTAATAGTCACAGCCAGAAGCCCTGTGTGTTCCATACCCACATATATATGTGCCTTTAGGTGGTAGGGCCTGTGAAAAACCCCAGGTTTTTTCCCTCCTCAAGTTGCTTAACCTAAGGATTTTATACTCCAAGGAGTGCTTTAGGCATGGATAAGACCTGTAGTTAAGTGCTACTCAGAAATCATAGAATAGTAGAATGGGTTGTGTTGGAAGGGACCTCAAAGCTCCTCCAGTTCCAACCCCTGCCACAGGCAGGGACCCCTTCCACTGGAGCAGCTTGCTCCAAGCCCCTGTGTCCAACCTGGCCTTGAGCACTGCCAGGGATGGGGCAGCCACAGCTTCTCTGCCCTTCGCTGCGCAGGGAGAAGGAAGGGCTGCAGAAAGCCCACGAGATCCTGAGCAAGCTGGGCCTGGAGCCGTCCCACGAGGACTGCGTGGCCACGCTCCGCATCTGCCAGATCGTGTCCACGCGCTCGGCCAACCTCTGCGGGGCCACGCTGGCCGCCGTGCTGCGGCGCATCAAGGACAACAAGGGCGTGGAGAGGCTGCGGTCCACGGTCGGCGTGGATGGCTCCGTCTACAAGAAGCATCCTCAGTGAGTCCATGGGGAGGGGGTGAGGACACCACTGAACCAACGGGGTTGGGAAAGAGCTTTAAGCTCATCCAGTCCAACCGTTCCCAGCCCTGCCAAGGCCACCACTGACCCATGGCACCGGGGGTGTGTGAGCACTTGCAGGGCCGGTGACTGCAGCCCTGCCCTGGGCAGCCTGTTCCAATGCCTGAGCACCCTCTGGGGAAGGAATTGTTCCTCAGCTCCATCTAAACCTGCCCTGGGGCAGCTTGAGGCCGTTTCCTTTTGTCCCATCCCTTGTTCCCTGTGAGCCCGCTCCTGGCTCCATCCTCCTGTCAGGCAGTTGTAGGGAGCAACCAGGACCCCCCCCAGTCTATTCCTGCCAGCAGTGGGTCAAGCTTGGCACAGCTATTCCCATGGACCCCTCTGGTGCTGAAGGAGCCGCAGTCAGTTGCAACCCCAAAGGCTCTGGTTGTAATCCACATCCTCCCTCCTCCTCCTCCTTAGCTTTGCCCGGCGCCTCCATAAGACGGTGCGGAAGCTGCTGCCGGACTGCGAGATCCGCTTCGTGCGGTCGGAGGACGGCAGCGGCAAAGGGGCCGCCATGGTGACGGCCGTGGCCTACAGACTGGCTGCCCAGCACAAGGCACGGCAGAAGATCCTCGAGGCGCTCAAGCTGAGCCACGAGCAGCTCCTGGAGGTGAAGCAGAGGATGAGGATGGAGATGGAGAAGGGGCTGGGCAAGGAGACGCACGCAGAGGCGGCCGTGAAGATGCTGCCCACCTACGTGTGCTCGACCCCAGACGGCACAGGTAACACCTCATGTGTTATAAACCCATCCTTGCATAGGGCAAAGAGGTGGCAGCGCTGCTCCCAGCATCCGATTCGTGTAGGGAAGGGCTGGGAGCTTTGCCATGGCTGGTTCCTTCTGTGCTGGGAGGGGCACAGAGCTTTGTAGCCTCCAGTATGACACAGGGAAAGGCAGCTGAGCCTCCAGGCCGTTCTGCGCTTGCCTTAACACAAAGCCTGGCTTTCCCTGTGGTCTCCCCACCACCGCAGGTTCCTCACCACCATTGTCCTGGGTTGTGCTCCCTGTTCCGTCAGTGGCTTGGGTGTGCTCCTGCCTCTTGGCTTGGAGCCCTGGGATCTCCCTGGGTCCGGAGCAAACCTCTCCATCACCTTCCTGCCTGCACCCGATGTTCTCCATTCCCAGCCACGTCGTGGTTTCTGGTCCTTTCCCAGCCAGAGGGAAGAATCGGCTCAGCTTTGGGCCGTGCTCAGGAGGGGATCATTGGGATCGTTGTCGGGATCTCTCCTAACGGCTCTCCCTTGGCTTCCAGAGAAAGGAGATTTCCTCGCCCTGGACCTGGGAGGTACCAACTTCCGTGTGCTGCTGGTGCGCGTGAGGAACGGGATGAGGCGCGGCGTGGAGATGCACAACAAGATCTACTCCATCCCGGTGGAGATCATGCAGGGGACGGGAGAGGAGGTGAGGACGGGCAGCTGGAGGTGGAAAACTGCATGGGGAAGGCTTTTGCTCTCCTGCCTTTAGAGCAGCAAGTTCTGCCCAAGGCTCTGCAGTCTGAGATGAGCTTTAGGGAGCCTGAGGCTGGTTTATAGGTTAGAAATGGTTGTTATTCCCAGCTGGTCATCTCCATCCCTTCTGGGTGCAGGATGGGACCTGCAGGGAGGTATCAGAGGGATACAACCATGGTGCTGGGGAAGGGGATGGAAAGGAGCTGCTTTGGGCTTGCTCACCTCACACAGCAGCATCCTGGTCTGTTCAAAGCCCTGTTGGGAATGGGTCAGGCAGGCTGCATCCCGCTGAGTTTCTTGCTGTGATGGTGACTTCTCCGTTTGGCTCTGCACTCCCAGCTCTTTGACCACATTGTCCACTGCATCTCCGACTTCCTGGAATACATGGGAATGAAGGGCGTATCGCTCCCGCTTGGATTCACGTTCTCCTTCCCTTGCCAGCAGACCAGCCTGGATGAGGTAACCCCAACCTACCTGGGTAGGATACGTGTCTGGTACCCAGGGCTGGCACTGGTTGCTGTGGGCACGGGGCTGCTGTTCCCATTGACCAGGATGATTTATTTACCACGGGGCATTCCCACCGCAGGGAATTCTCCTCAAGTGGACAAAGGGTTTCAAGGCGACCGGGTGTGAAGGAGAGGACGTGGTGAACCTGCTGAAGGAGGCGATCCACAGGAGGGAGGTGAGCATCCCCATCGCTGCGAGGAGGCTGCTGCTCGCTCCCACACCCCGGTGATGTCTTTGGCATCTTTAATTGGCCTGTAAAGCTAATTAATGGGCTGAGCACAGGCCTAATGAGTGTCTGAGCTTCAACAGCCACCCTTAGTCATCACTAGGGCTTGGATTTCCAGACCCCGGAGCTAAGAGGTGGCTCCCAGCCAAGGCTGGAGCAGACTTGTCTCTATGTGACTCAGGGAGACACCAAAGCTCATTTCCTCAGTGCAGACCACCCAAAGCGCATGCCCTGGGGGCTCTTCCTGGTGTAATAAGCTGCATCCTTCAGGAATAACCCCATCCAATCCCACCCCTCTGCAGGAATTTGACCTGGACGTGGTGGCGGTGGTAAATGACACGGTTGGCACCATGATGACCTGCGGATATGAAGATCCGTACTGTGAAGTTGGGCTGATTGTTGGTGAGGAATGAAACGTTCTCGTGGGGTTCCTTTGTTGGGCTCCCAAACCTGCCCCCATGGGGTGTTCCTGTAAGTCTCTGAGGGCTTTTTCCTTGCTTCAGTAGCCCCATTGAAAGCTGCTGCTCTCTCTGCAGGCACGGGCAGCAACGCCTGTTACATGGAGGAGATGAGGAACGTGGAGCTGGTGGAAGGGGAGGAGGGCAGGATGTGCATCAACATGGAGTGGGGAGCGTTTGGGGACAACGGGTGCTTGGATGACATCCGGACCGAGTTCGACCTGGCGGTGGACGAGCTCTCTCTCAACCCAGGGAAGCAAAGGTGCGTGGTGGCTTTGTAGGGCTGGGTGTCCAGGCCGGTTCCTCTTGTCCCATCCCTTGTTTTCCTTGGGAGCAAAGCCCAGCCCCTTCTGGCTCCATCCTCCTCTCAGGCAGTTGTAGGGAGCGATCAGGTCCCCCCTGAGCCTTCTCTTCTCCAGACTGAACCCCCCCAGGTCCCTCAGCCGGTCCCCATCTTTCTGATGGCCAGCCTTGCCCTCTCCTCCGCAGGTTTGAGAAGATGATCAGTGGGATGTACCTGGGGGAGATCGTCCGCAACATCCTGATGGATTTCACCAAGCGAGGGCTGCTCTTCCGGGGACGGATCTCAGAGAGGCTCAAGACCAGAGGGATCTTTGAGACCAAGTTCCTGTCGCAGATCGAAAGGTGAGGACCGAGAGGCAGGGCGATCCAGCTGCGCATCGGAGATGGAGTTGGGGGAAAGCACTCCCAGGGTTTGGGGCACACGTCCCAAGCTCTCAATCCGGAGCCAGGATGGCAGAGGGGGGTGCAATGCAGCAGCAAAACTCACGTGGTTCTGACAGCACCGGTGATGAGAGACAAGGAAGCGTCTGGGGTTGGCAACACAGAGGCCTCTTTATCCTCTGTGCTGGAATAGCCCCACGGATTAGGACGTGACATCAGATCCGCATCCAGCTCTGAAAGCCGAGTTAAAGGGGAGCGGTAGAGCCACACAAGACGTAGCTAAGAGGAGGTGAAGCCACGCGCCCACGTTGCTCCGTCTCCTCACGCTGCCCATCCCTTTGCGTCCTCTCTAGCGACTGCTTAGCCCTGCTCCAGGTCCGCTCCATCCTGCAGCACCTTGGCCTGGAGAGCACGTGCGACGACAGCATCATCGTGAAGGAGGTGTGCGCGGTGGTGGCGCGGCGCGCGGCGCAGCTCTGCGGCGCGGGCATGGCTGCCGTGGTGGACAAGATCCGCGAGAACCGCGGCCTCGACTTCCTCAAGGTCACCGTCGGTGTGGACGGGACCCTCTACAAGCTGCACCCGCAGTGAGTTGAGCAAGAGGGTCCTCCAAGGGGGGGTTATGTGCTCAGCTTGATGAGCCTAAAGGATGGGGCACCCAGGTAACACCGCACCAGGCAGGACCTAAGGCTGGGTTGGCCCAGTGATGGTGACCAGGTTCAATCAGATCATCAGCAGGTCTAACCCGAGAAGTCAACCCATGATCTGGATCAGGAAGGTTTATGGCCAAGCAAAACTGTAACCATGCCTGAGCTGGAGGGTGGTACTTGTAGGACGGTGACGGTCAGCAGGGATTAAGGGCACAGACTGATCCTAAATAGGGCTCAGGGGCCCATGGGTAGAGGGAGGGCTCTGGAGATCCCTCAGGTGAGGATGGTCAGGGCTATTAAGGTTTATTAGGGATTGGTGGGACTACAGAAGGGGCTGATTTAGTCCTGAGGGAGAGCGTGATTGTATCGTGCTAACTGTGGGCTTGGCCTGCAGCACAGAGATTGGCTTTATAATGCCTCATATGTGGCAGCTCTTTCTCCATCCATCTCCTCTGTGTATCCAGAATCATGGAATGGTTTGGGATGAAGGGACCTTAAAGCTCACCCAGTTCCAACCCCCGCCACGGGCTGGGACCCCTTCCACTGGAGCAGCTTGCTCCAAGCCCCTGTGTCCAACCTGGCCTTGAGCACTGCCAGGGATGGGGCAGCCACAGCTTCTCTTGGCGCTGTGGTGCACCAAGGGAAGAGCTTCCTTATCTCCAACCTGATTCAGTTTAAAACCATTCCCCCCTATCCTACCCCTACAGTCCCTGAGGAAGAGTCCCTGTAGCTCGACACGAAGGGGGTGATGTGCTCTGCTCCTCACGGAGCAGGCGCCTTTACCCGAGGCGGGTTGAGTCACCAGCTCTCCCCTTTCCCTGCAGCTTCTCCACGGTCATGCACGAGACAGTGAAGCAGCTGTCCCCCAAGTGCGAAGTGACCTTCCTGCAGTCGGAGGACGGCAGCGGCAAGGGCGCAGCGCTCATCACAGCCGTGGCGTGCCGCATCCGGGAGGCTGGCCAGCGGTAGGAGCAAGGAGGGGTTGCCGAAGAGCTTGGTGTCAGCAAAGCAGGACATTCCCCTTCCTTCCCTCCCTCCGTACACACACACACACACACACACACATACACGTGCAGCCTCCCCCTGCAAGCAGACTCTTAGCTTTACTTGTTCTCTCGAGCTCCTCCCAAGTGGGACTGGAGATGCTGTGTGCTTTGTTATAAAGTGTTGTCTTAGGAGTTTTACTGCATGCCATAAAACCGCCTCTCAAGTAAAGCTAAAAGTGTCTTTTGGCTGTCTACCTACATTTCCAGTTAGAGCTGGGCCTGTTCCACCCGCAGCTCTCCTCCCCACATCTCCTAACCACTCTCACATCTTCCCTAACAGCAGAAAGGATAATGCTAGAATAATCAAGATGCTGCATTGTCACTTTATGGTTAACTGGTACCTATTTATGTCTGTCGGAGTCCTAGCGTGTCCGTGCTGTAGAAAGCAAACCTCTTTTAAGATTGGGCTAAAGACCTCCATTAGTCTTTTACCCTGATCAAGGCTGTATTATTTCCATGAAAGTCATGGTAACTTTTAAAAGCACAGGGTGCAGAACCTCAACCACCGTGAGTCTGCACTGAGAGGTACCAAGTATCTCTGGTGGTGAGCAATAATAAAGAACCTGCTGGGCCAAGTTAGAGGTGCCCCTTTAACCGCTCCAGCAGAGCACGTGCCTGGAAATAACTGGGGACTCAGGGTCTAATCCCATTTCCCAACCTCTCTCCCGTACCCCGACTAGAGCGTAGGAATGTGGCATGTGTCTAGGGTTGTGTTACACCCCCTTGGAAACCACTAGCCCCCTTCCCTGGTCCATGTGCGGGTAAGAGGGAGCCGCCACCACGCTGGGTGGGTCTCACCCCCTGTCATGGTCCTGTGCGGTGAGTTGGGTTTGCTTCTTGGCTGTGAAATCGTCCTCTGTCTTCAGCCTTTTAGGTGACACCTGGATTCAAACACTGTGTATTTATGTTGCAAGAGATCTTATGTCTTTGTATGTACATAGTCTTTGGGGGGGAGGGGGGTGGGGGGGGGTGTTATATTGCTTAGTTTTGATTTCACCTTTTAATGTCGTTTAAGAAGGGTACAGAGTACTTATATTTTTTTTAATTTAAAACTTTCTTGGGGTAGACTGGACAAAGAGATCCCAAATTCCCAAGGGCAGGAACACCAGAGGTTTGGCCATTCTGGATTTACCCCCAGAACAAAAGGGATACCAGAAAGCCAGGGATGCCGTGTGCAGGGTGATGAGGCTGGGTTTAGCCTAAGGAGAGGTTTTCTTTTGTCCCCCTGCCCTACCTGGCCCGTTTTGCTCTTTGAAGTATCCCAGAGTTCTGCAGGGACCCTGTGTCCCTCCTGCCATCATCCCAGTCACACATCCCAAGGGTGATGCGGCGAGGCAGAGGCGATCCCAACTCATTCCATGAAGTTAGCAGCGATAACTGGTGTCACCTCAGCTCCATTTGGCATCCTCGGGGCTGTCTGGGAGCGTTCCCAGGGACGTGCGTGCCCACAGCATCCCTTTGTGCTCCCATAGCATCCCTTTGTGTGCCATGGGGAAAAGCAAGAGATTCGTTTTCACCAACAGAAAGCCTGTGGATGAAGGAGATGCTGCAGTTCTCTGGGTGAGCAGAGGCTCAGATAGGGATGGGGATGTTCGTGTAAATATATAGCAGAAGAGAATGAAATTCCAGTGATGTACAAAAAGAATTTAACTCCTAAATCCCACCAAGAGCCCTTCAGTTTGGAGGATAGAGATTTTGTCTATTTTTAATGGATATTTTTCTACTGCTTGGGGTAACCTCATTACCAAAAGTCTCTCTTCTATGGCGAGGGTCAAGTTCAGTAGTACAACTTTAAAGCAAAATTACTCTTTGGGCATTTTAAATGCTTATTTTTTTTATAAGCCTCAAGACAATTTTAACCAATAAAACCTGCCTCTGTATAGAAGCCACATAAGAGACTAAGTTTAGTGGAAGTTTGAGCAGATGTTAAATAAACCTGGAAAGCTGATACAGAAACCCTCTAACGTGGTACCAAGCAGTTGTGTGTGATTCTTTCCCCAGAAAACCAGCATTTTGCCTACTGAAAAACGTGGAGAAATGGGTTTTTTACCTACTGCACCCTGCAGGAGGTTACATTAGTGGCTGTTTTTAAACTCTTATCCAGCTGTACCCCTTTTAAAGTAGGTAGTGTTTTCATCAGGTAGCGAGCTGCGTTCTATACAAGGGTAGTTTTGGGGGGAAAGTGGGAAGGGTTGGGACAAGGGGCAGCCCTTTGGTAGCTGATTCAGGCTCCAGCTCAGTGAATTGGTGGAGCAGGTGACTAAAAGGGCGAGAAGGAAACGTGGGTAGTGAAGTACCTGGTTAGGAGCAGGGTAACCTCATGCCCTTTCTCTGCAGCAGGGATGGGCTGGGACTTTACAGCAGCAGGAAGGATTAGCCCTGAGCTTGCAGGGTGGTGATGAAGTGCTGAGTGCTTTCGCCTCTCCTGGAATAGAGGAAGTAAAGGCAGGATGAGTTACCTGGAGCAGCATCTGCTCTGCGGGGCTGACACAGGGAAGGAGCTCACATGGAGCCCAATGTGGATCTGAGCTTTCTGTGAGGTTAGGGGGGATTTTTGGCTGGGCTTGGGCAGATGGATGCTCACCTGGATATCCACAAGGCTCCTGTAAAGCTTGAAAGCTTTTGCTTCCCTTTTGCTTTGGCTCAGATAAAGCAGGGTCTGAAGTGTTCGTAAGTTAAAGAGTAATACTTGAAGCGCTGTAAGACACTCATGTTAACCTGTGATCACAGCTATGCCCTTGGCCGTGGCTGTACAGGGAAGGGTTTCATCCAACACTTGGAGAAGTTTGTGCTCCTTTTTGTCTCAAAGGGGGTGAGCACCAGAGATGTTTGCTGTACAGTCTGATTGTAACTTAGGTGGGACTGTAACCTCACACCAAAACGTTGCCGTGGGATGTTCTGTGAATGTGTTTAAAATGAAGAAGGGAAGATTAAATCCTAACTCTTGATATGAAGGGAAGATCAAATTATTGTATGTAGGGAGAGACAGACAGACTGATCACCTGGACGTGCCCAGCCTGTCTCTTCTCTCCAGCAAGAAGCACTGCTTTGTGGATTTAGGATGGCTTTTGTTTCGCTTGGTTGTTCCCATTAGGATGCATTTTCTTCGCACTCCTGGCCTTGTGCGGGCACCTTCTTTGGCCAGAAGCAGCAGGAGAACAGTGTCTTCCACTGTGGTAGCTGCTCCACTGGAGACACTGCCCTCTCCTCCCTGGCAATTCTCTATTTGTTGGTAGTTTGGTCAGGTTGTTATTGGCACTGCTTATTTTAAGTTATATATAAATGTGTATGTGTGAGCACACACAAACAGCAAATTATTGAGCCTTGCGAGAGGAATTTGCCTCTTTCCTTCCCAAAGGCAGAGGAGAAGCTGGTATTCCATCACCCAAGAGGATGAGGAGTATGGGGGATGTGGAGATCTCTGGCCTGAAAGCAGCCCTGGGGCAGCCTGTCCCAAAAGGTTTTCGCAGCCTGGGTGCTGCCCTGGCAATCTTCTCTCTTATCAGCAAGCCAGGCTATCAGAGATAAGAGGGTGAAGGTCCAAGTGCATGGGAAGGGAGCAGGGAGAGGTGTAAACGAGTGATAAACCCCACAGTTCCCCATGCCAGAGGTGGCAGCAGCAAACTAAACTGGCCTGGGGGAATCCTTGGTCCCCCACCTCCCCTCAATCCCCTCCCCTCCCAGCAGATAGAAAGGGAAATACCTTCTTGTGCTTGCTTTGGTAGAACAGCACTCACTGAAGACAAAAGAGGCAATTCCTGGTCACAGGGGCATTTGGAGTGAGGAAGAGTCATGTTATTGCCACATTCCTGACAAGTCTGGAGTCTTTCTGGCCTGAGGCAAAGAAAATGCATCTTAATGTGGGTGTTGGCTCCGTGCGGGGCAGGGGAGTTAAGTAAAGCCAAAGACTGTTCAGCTGCTAGCAGAAACGAGTGACTGTAGATTCACCTGATGTTGTTCTGTCGTGTTTACAGTATTTATTTTTAGGAATTGACTGCAATGATATTATATATAATAGGCTTCCTTATTTTTGTACTTTTCATACCGTTTTCCTGAGTGTGGTGTTGTACTTCTCAGCTCCCCCTTTGCCATGACTGCTGCTCCTAGTCAGTGACAAATAAAAGAGAGAAAAACAACCAACCAATCCCCCCACGTTCTGGGGTAAGTTGTGATGTGTTTTGGTTTCTGGGCTCCTCTTCCTCCTTAGCTACCCCTGAGGAAGGGCACCTTCACCACTGCCCCATCCCAAAGCCCTCATCCTGCCCGCTGGACTGAAGCTTGGAAGGGATTTGTCCCCTTGCATTGACAGTCCCTCCACAACCAGGAGGGTCCAGGTAGGATCAGGACACTCATTCATATCTGAGAAACAATACCAAGATGAGTTTCATGGAAGCTCTTGCTCCACATTCCACACCCTCACCCCCCTGCAGAGAGGTAGTTCCCCAGCTGCAGGGCAGATGTGTTGGCCAGATGTGTTCACACACAGCAATGGCTTGACCCTGGGAGCCAGCAAAGTGCAAAGGCAGCTCAGGATCTGGACCAAAACAGGTGGTGCTGAGCCCTGTGCACAAAGCAGGAGCCCTGTGGAGCACAACCCACCACCAAAGCTTAAATTTCAACCTTTATATTCCACAAAAACCAGGGAGTTGTTTAAAACCAACCTCGGTTTTAGGTACCAGTTCTGCCATTAACCAGCAGCACAAACTCCTTTCCACTCAACCCATGACTTGGCTTTAAAGGCTTGGTATTTCTAGTTAAACCCAAGAAAACTGCTTACTAAAGCATCTAAGTACCAAGTTTGATGCTGCAGCAGGTGAATGCCTTAAAATCCTTCTGCTTCCTGCTTCTGAAGTACGGCACAAGGCAAGATTACACAGAGGTGCATCCGAGGGCTGAATCCAATAGGAAAAGCTATTCATGGCAGAAAAGGGTAGACATGGGGGAGTATTCCACTTGAAGTCCTTTATTGACAAGTTGCCCCATTTTTCCATCTTGCCTAACACGTTTTAATCCTTGTTATAAAAGTACAAATGGGTTTCTGCTTTTCTGATATTAAAAAAAAAAAATAGCCTAAAGAGGTAAAATTCTCCCTTTGAATCCAAAAATCCTGTTGATAGGAATTCAAAACTGCAACAGAGAAACATAAAACTCAACACATACAAAGCAAGGCTACAGTGTACC